GTGAGTGGACAGATGGATGGCTGTGTGTATGTCTGTATGTGAGTGGACAGATGGATGGCTGTGTGTATGTCTGTATGTGAGTGGACAGATGGATGGCTGTGTGCATGTATGTATGTGAGTGGACAGATGGATGGCTGTGTGTATGTCTGTATGTGAGTGGACAGATGGATGGCTGTGTGTATGTCTGTATGTGAGTGGACAGATGGATGGCTGTGTGTATGTCTGTATGTGAGTGGACAGATGGATGGCTGTGTGTCTGTATGTGAGTGGACAGATGGATGGCTGTGTGTATGTCTGTATGTGAGTGGACAGATGGATGGCTGTGTGCATGTCTGTATGTGAGTGGACAGATGGATGGCTGTGTGTATGTCTGTATGTGAGTGGACAGATGGATGGCTGTGTGTATGTCTGTATGTGAGTGGACAGATGGATGGCTGTGTGTATGTATGTGAGTGGACAGATGGATGGCTGTGTGTATGTATGTATGACAGAGTGGACATGTGAGTGGACAGATGGATGGCTGTGTGTATGTGTATGTGAGTGGACAGATGTGGCTGTGTGTATGTACAGAGTGGACAGATGGATGGGCTGTGTGTAGTGGACAGATGGATGGCTGAGTGTATGACAGATGGATGGCTGTGTGTGTATGTATGTGAGTGGACAGATGGATGGCTGTGTGAGTATGTGAAGTGGACAGATGGATGGCTGGTGTATGTGTGTGATGTGGCTGTGTGTGAGTGGACAGATGGATGGCTGTGTGTATGTATGTGAGTGGACAGATGGATGGCTGTATGTGTGTATGGATGGCTGTATGTGATGTGAGTGGACAGATGGATGGCTGTGTGTATGTCTGTATGTGAGTGGACAGATGGATGGCTGTGTGTATGTATGTGAGTGGACAGATGGATGGCTGTGTGTATGTATGTGAGTGGACAGATGGATGGCTGTGTGTATGTATGTGAGTGGACAGATGGATGGCTGTGTGTATGTCTGTATGTGAGTGGACAGATGGATGGCTGTGTGTATGTCTGTATGTGAGTGGACAGATGGATGGCTGTGTGTATGTATGTGATTGGACAGCTGGATGGCTGTGTGCATGTATGTGAGTGGACAGATGGATGGCTGTGTGCATGTATGTGAGTGGACAGATGGATGGCTGTGTGTATGTATGTGAGTGGACAGATGGATGGCTGTGTGTATGTATGTGAGTGGACAGATGGATGGCTGTGTGTATGTATGTGAGTGGACAGATGGATGGCTGTGTGTATGTATGTGAGTGGACAGATGGATGGCTGTGTGTGTGTATGTATGTGTGTGATGTGGACAGGACAGATGGATGGCTGTGTGTATGTATGTGAGTGGACAGATGGATGGCTGTGTGCATGTATGTATGTGAGTGGACAGATGGATGGCTGTGTGTATGTATGTGAGTGGACAGATGGATGGCTGTGTGTATGTATGTGAGTGGACAGATGGATGGCTGTGTGTATGTATGTGAGTGGACAGATGGATGGCTGTGTGCATGTATGTATGTGAGTGGACAGATGGATGGCTGTGTGCATGTATGTGAGTGGACAGATGGATGGCTGTGTGCATGTCTGTATGTGAGTGTGTGTGTGCATGTATGTATGTGAGTGGACAGATGGATGGCTGTGTGCATGTATGTATGTGAGTGGACAGATGGATGGCTGTGTGTATGTATGTATGTGAGTGGACAGATGGATGGCTGTGTGTATGTATGTGATTGGACAGATGGATGGCTGTGTGTATGTATGTGAGTGGACAGATGGATGGCTGTGTGTATGTATGTATGTGAGTGGACAGATGGATGGCTGTGTGTATGTATGTGATTGGACAGATGGATGGCTGTGTGTATGTATGTGAGTGGACAGATGGATGGCTGTGTGTATGTATGTGAGTGGACAGATGGATGGCTGTGTGTATGTATGTGAGTGGACAGATGGATGGCTGTGTGTATGTATGTGAGTGGACAGATGGATGGCTGTGTGTATGTATGTGATTGGACAGATGGATGGCTGTGTGTATGTATGTGAGTGGACAGATGGATGGCTGTGTGTATGTATGTGAGTGGACAGATGGATGGCTGTGTGTATGTATGTATGTGAGTGGACAGATGGATGGCTGTGTGCATGTATGTATGTGAGTGGACAGATGGATGGCTGTGTGTATGTATGTATGTGAGTGGACAGATGGATGGCTGTGTGTGTGAGTGGATGTATGGCTGTGTGTATTGGACAGATGGATGGCTGTGTGTATGTATGTGAGTGGACAGATGGATGGCTGTGTGCATGTATGTATGTGAGTGGACAGATGGATGGCTGTATGTCTGTATGTGATTGGACAGCTGGATGGCTGTGTGCATGCATGTATGTGAGTGGACAGATGGATGGCTGTATGCCTGTATGTGATTGGACAGCTGGATGGCTGTGTGCATGCATGTATGTGAGTGGACAGATGGATGGCTGTGTGTATGTATGTGAGTGGACAGATGGATGGCTGTGTGCATGTCTGTATGTGAGTGGACAGATGGATGGCTGTATGTCTGTATGTAAGTGGACAGATGGGTGGCTGTGTGCATGTCTGTATGTGAGTGGACAGATGGATGGCTGTGTGTATGTCTGTATGTGAGTGGACAGATGGATGGCTGTGTGTATGTATGTGAGTGGACAGATGGATGGCTATGTGCATGTATGTGATTGGACAGCGTGACATTACACTATTTGGGAAAACCAGAGACAAGAAGATAACAGAGAGAACAACCCAACATTACACTATTTGGGAAAACCAGAGACAAGAAGATAACAGAGAGAACAACCCAACATTACACTATTTGGGAAAACCAGAGACAAGAAGATAACAGAGAGAACAACCCAACATTACACTATTTGGGAAAACCAGAGACAAGAAG